GGAATGTAATATTCATAGGTATGTGTACATTCACCTGAGTATAGGACCAGTTTTATTGAGACAATAAAGAGAGACGATGTGAACGTCATTTAAATAAATAAATAAATAAAGAAATGTACAGTTTGTGCAAGAATATATTGTATATAAGATCTAATGTCCACCATGGTAAAGTTCTGTGGCACAAAGTTCTCCTCACTATCAGGTCAGCTGAGTCAGTGCCTCAGTTTACAATGCTGGCACTGTATGATATTTTATATATATATACATATATATAAAGTGGCTGAGTTTATATATATATATATATATATATATATCTATGTTTGATTGCTAAAATGTTTATTCGATATATATATAAAATTTTATTCGATTTTATGTTATGTGTAATTTTTAAGGAATTATTATTATTATTATTATTATTATGCCAAAATAATCACATTTCTGGCAGTCACAACCTTCTATAATCCTAATGAAACGTGGCACTCATGTAATATGTTGCCAAAAATTCCGTATTCTATTCTATTCACTGCACAGAAAAATATCTTGACAGCGCGCCCCTAGACAGCCCAGCACCATTTCACAGAGACATCGGTAGGCATATGTATCATGTCTAAACATACAAAAAACCTCTGGGACCCATATCTTGAACAACTGGAAGTCAGACATTTTTAATTTAATTTGGTTTTATTTCTCTATGATATGCTATCTTAGCACACATTGTATTGTGTTGTATTTTGTGAAGCACCTTGTAACTCTGGCTAAAAATAACTGCACTGAGGGCTGGGGTTATGAGCAAAATCCAACTCTTTCTCGGAACAGTTGAATCATACAGTTACATTCCTCCCTCATCATAGCTGACTGAAATGATTATGTGCATCATCATTAGTGTAACACCGCCCTGTAAGGAAAGCTTTGTCATAGTCAGTGTCATACAGTACTTCTGATGTTATTGCATTGTGTTCCTTGTGAAAAAAGTGAGGTCTTTTTCAGTTGAAAATATAACTACTAGCTCTTTTGTTTAGAGCAGTAGTTCGCAACCTGGGGGTTGAGACCGCGCAAGGCCTTCTTGATTTCCAGGCGTGCTAGAAGACTTAAATAAATATATACTCTAGGCCTATATCTTATCATTTGATTCACTTCTGTGAAGAAAGGTAAATGTAAAGTTACTTGTCTAATAGAACAATGACCAAGCATCAGGGACAAAAAACACAAAAACACAAAAAGAAGCCTATTAAGTCTGTATGATTGTTAAAAATGATAAGAAATACACAATACAGACAGAATTGTGTAAAAAGTTATCTAAACATCCAAATCACTCCTTTTACACACACTTCAGTGGCTGAGTTCACTGTTTGTTTTAATTACAAACCCAGTGTGATGAATCAAGTCCCTTTATTCATGCAGCATGGAGAGAAGACCTCAGCATAGATGTTCTATTAACAGTACTGCTGTAAATCACATGTAAAGGTTTTAGGTCTTCAACACAAATGGTCCGTTGATCTGACCCTGCGACTGTGACCAGATTCTTATCAGTAATCCTCCTACTATAACATCACAACCCCCCTAAACAAACTGTATACATTTACTACCCCACCTAAAACATTCATCTACCACAGCATGACAGTGGACAGCACAGAGCACACTGTTTTACAGCCCCTCCCTGACCTTGAAGCTATCAAACCTGTGAGGCCGGGCCACACACATTATACTGCTGTGGTTAAATGCAATCATTAACTCTTATTATTAAGCCCACGTTGCAAGGTCACTATTAAAGTTGTAAAAGCAGACTGATTTGATGATGCCTGAATGAATCAGCTGTCTGGTTCGCGGTCCAATCAGGTGATTCACTGCCCCGATTCGGACAGGTGACAGGTTGAGACAGTTTTG